TATTCAGACGCGAAAAGGAAAGAAGGACTTGAGCGTAGTGAAATTTACCAGGACCTAGTAAGCTGACTACGAGACTTATAGTTTTGCAGATTAACGGTAATAATTTGAATATATTATTGCTGACCGTTCCTTGCCGATTGCGCAAAAACATCTGAAGAGCACATATGGCTGTTGTAACTTACCATACTAACAACCCAGCTACTAGCTAAAAGGCGCAGACACGTGGTTCGTCGATATTCTGCCGCTGCTTGACACATTTGCGAAGGGTCCGGTTCATTAGTGTGTCTCCTAGATGTCCCTGTTTGCTTTTTTTATAAATTAATTTCTATTCTCGGTAAACATCAACATTTTGAAAGTCTATAGGCATAGGCAGCAAGTGTATATTACGTGGTTATCCCGCAGTGACTGACGGAGTTTGTCTCAAATATATACATCAAACTTCGATCTATGCCTATGATGTATACTGGGACGGAAATCAATTTTTAAAGAATTTAAAAAGCTGAACATTTAAAGAGCATTAAAGTTTAGCACCTTTTTTTCGCTTTTCCACCATGCTGACAAGTTCTATCATCTGTATGTCTAACATATCCTTGATCTATAAACGTTTTATGAAAATCCACCATTAAATCATTCTTCAGGCGTTACTGCATATCTGACGAAGAATGCAGGAAAATAGGCAGATACTGTTTTCTTAGTCTATAGTTAATGACCCACTTCTTACCGGTAAATGATTATCCCAACTTCTTTGGAATAATTTATACATATGACCTAGTTATCTGCCAAGTAGCGTTTTAAAATTTCTAATCGATTTTCGTAAGTTACTAAGTTCTGACTGCAATGTTATGTTCAAGAAACTTCCAGACGCCGAAATGTCCAAGTTCCATTTATTAGAAGTGTTGTTAATGGGACATGACAGTAAGATCTCCCTTTTACTTTCATGGCATCAAGACGTGGGACCTCAGCAGGGGACAAGTGTTTGAAAGTTTGCATGGATGAAGATATATTCGAGGCCCAAGGCAAAGTTACGTTGCCGGTCTGAAATCATGGAAAAATCCTCCTATTCTTGAGTTTATAGAAACCTCCACAGGGCTATATCGGGGTTCCACAGACTACCTCCTACCTTAAAAGGGTGACTGTTAGAAGTCTAGCCTAACCGAATACCAGCAAATTTGCAGGCTCTCTTGAGGTGTCGTGTCGGTGACCGACTGCCACATTTATTTCTTTGTCAATGCGGACCACCTGCAGGGTCATATGCATTCGCTGGCGACTGTGCCCACGCGATGACTCTAAACCTCTGGACAGGAGACAGACGCACGCGAGTCCACGCGCGTGCCAAACTAGTCGCAGTTCCTCAAGGGCCACTTAGGTGACCTTATTTCAACGTGCCAATCATGCCGCAAGCGAACGCGCCTGACTATCATTTATAAGCCGCTGTCACGCCTAAGACAGTGAGTTGCAACGTGGACTGACAAGGACACCGCCAGTCCGTTCCATTGCTGGACTTCGCCCCGAGACGGGCCATCCAGTACGTTGGCTTTAAGCCAGCGGCTACTGCCACCCGAGACAGCAACCCCCGGGTGGCTTCCACTTTTACGTCGTTGGGGATACAAAGAGGGCGTAATTAGACGGCGACAGCACACAGAAGTCACCGGTACAACAGTGACAAACTGTCGTGTTCTAGAATGAGGTCAGCTAACTTGTTTTTCCAGTCGGTCAAGCAAGAGGCTTCCATAAGTTATTCCTACAGGCAAACTGTATCTGGCGCAAAAGCTGTTTGTCTAAAAGATAAGATGGTGATGAGCCACTACTCATTCTGCACTCCCCACAAGTTCTTAATTTTTGAGGGCAGAAAGTTTCACAAGTAAATCGCAATCCGGACTTCCAACCCTGTATAGGAATAGTAATGCCAAGACCTGAGTATAAACACACTAGTATACATCTGTGCAGAATGATTTACGAAATGACATACGAAAATGTGGAGACTGGATGATTCTTTGGAAATTTAAGATAAACAAAACAGATGCATATTAATGTAAGAAAACAAGAGTCATAGATGATTGTTATTAGTGGTTCAGGGGAGGCGTTCTTCAACCACTCGGTTACTGCCTTATGATTTCTTGTTTTACAACCCGCTTAAGCTGATTATGTAACAGCTCTGTCCAGCTTAGCTCCTAAAGGCCAATGAATGGCTTTGCGGAGACCACCGATGTAGATTTTTTCGACAAATCCATCCTCGGGTTGGGTATGAATGGCTAATAAGCCAGTTTTTCTTGTATTTGCCGGCTTTACTAGCCGCTGTGCTGCTGCTGCTGCTGCTGCTGGTGGGTCTCAAGAGTGAGTCCCAAGGGAGAACGGGATGAGTGAGTTTCGTTACCGATCAGTAGGCGTTCATCAACGAAACCCACCCCTGCTCTCCGTCAGTTTCTTCAGAGGTGCGCGAAAACAAGACACCGGAACCATAGTTTCAATGACGGCTATCGTGCACATTAGCATATACATACGCACACAAATGGGATGAGAAGAATACACAAATGTGCAGAGGGTTCAGTGTCATTGACGACTGCGGAGCCTCCATCAAGAAGGCCCTGAATCGTCATCAGGAGCATTTAGCAGGACAGTCAATTGAGAATAACATGTTAGGGGGGGGAGGGTAGGGCGACTTTGTGCAGAGGTAGATTGCCAAAACAGTGTGTATGTGTGCTTGTGCAGATACGTTCAGACATGGGCGTAAGAGGAGATGTTATAAATGCACGCGAATTATTCCTTTTAGAGAATAAGGAGAGTCGACCAGGTGTCTGTCTGTTTATAGGAAATGCAGTCCGGATAACTTCATGGGATGCCAGCATTGAAGAATGGATCAGGGCATGTAGAATTAGAGGAGAAGGGGT